TCTCTCTCTCTCTCTCTCTCTCTCTCTCTCTCTCTCTCTCTCTCTCTTTCTTTCTCTCATTCTCTCTTTTTTTTTCTTTCTTATACTAAATTTCATTTATTATAATTTATGTACAATTATTATATAAGTATACTTATGAAAGAGATAATGTAATCAACGATGATCGTGATTATTATAGAAGAGTTGCTTCTATTATTGCTGCTGGTTATTGGCTATCAGCTTTTAAAGTTGTTAAAAACATGTCAAGATCGTATTCATCATCATATTGTTGTTGTTCCCAAAGTTCAGGTAATATTTCAAGTACTGACCGATTAACGCCTTGTACACAAGATATTTTAGATACTCCAATATTTTCTTGATTCTCTAATTTTTTACCTTTACTATTGTCCAAAGAAAATAAGTCCAATAACTGTAAATAAGAATATAATTGTTGTTATCGAGTAAAAAGAAAAATATATATGATAGGAAAAAAAAGTTCATATTAAACAAAATATGTGTACTTGATCAGTAGCCATAGTTTCCAAAGAAGCATTTTCTGTAGAAATCACAGTATTGGCAGTAAGTAATTTAAACTTCTGCAATCCCATAATTTTCTCTTCAACAGTAGACCTAGTTATAAGACGATACACATTGACAACTTTCTTCTGACCGATACGATGAGCTCGATCCATTGCTTGAAGATCCTTCATAGGATTCCAATCGTGTTCGACGAAAATGACGGTATCAGCGCCTGTCAAATTTAATCCTAAACCACCAACTTGAGTAGTCAATAATAAAACGTCTATAGAAGGATCAGCATTAAAACGAGAAACAACGAAATGCCTTTGAGTAGCTGGCACACTTCCGTCAAGGCGCAAATATGTTACTGTTGGTAGATGAGCTCGAAGTAAATCTTTTTCTACGATATCAAGCATCGCTTTTAATTGACAAAATATAAGAACACGATGCTGGCTCACTAATTGTTGCTGAGTATGTTGATTGTCATTAGTGGAACTAGCCGATGCTAAATTCCGACTTTGTTGATTAGATTGTCCAATACCACAATCTAGTAATAATTGTTTTAAAGCTGGCAACTTAGCTCCATGCTCGATATCAGCTAAAGTAGTTTGTTGCTGTTTCATCATATTGCAAACCTAATAATAAAAATTACGATTAAGAGTAATCCATTTTAATAATAATTATAAAAATCTTGTTATTAAACGTGTTATTACTCACTGTTTGATACAGAGGATGTTTTGGACTTAATACTAGCTTAGGATGATTGCATACGTTACGTAAGTAACGTAATGCTTCAAAGACGTGACCACCATGAGGATCATTTGCAGACGCGCATGAGACATTAGAGATAAAGGCAGCAGAATGTCGTGTACGGAAATCTTCATAAAGAGTACGTTGTAATGGTGATAGATCGCAATAATAATCTTGCGTGATTTTAGGTGGTAAATCTTGTAGTACATCTTCTTTATTTCGTCTTAGTAAAAATGGTAATACCTACAAAAAAAAAATATATATGTATACATTTTGTTTAATATAATTAATATATTAACATTCATATTAAATATATTATAAACTTTTATATATAAAATATTGTATCAAAATTATAAAATATAATTTACCTGTCTATGAAGAGCTTCCATTGCCAGAGCACCAGCTTCCTGTTCTTTAGGGCCAGCTTTAGGTTCTCTACAAGCTAAAATAGGACGAGAATATTTAGCCGCAAATTGTTTCTCGCTACCAAGAAAACCTGGCATTAAAAAGTCGAAGAGAGACCACAATTCAAGTACATCGTTTTGTACTGGTGTACCCGATAATATTAGCCTGTGATTAGCATGCAAACGTTTAGCTGCTTGTGCACTTTTAGTCTTGCCGTTTTTTATCACATGACCTTCGTCAAGCACACAATAATTCCATTGAAGTGCTTCGAAGAATTCTATATCCTTTCGTATAATATCGTAACTTGCTACAACCATTCTGTGTTGTGAAAGGCGTGGCCTTAATTTTTCACGTTCTGGAGGTGTACCAGCGTATTGAATAACTGAAAGATCCTGACTTTGGAAAAATTTTTCTGCTTCATAGACCCAATGACCTGTTAAGGTTGGTGGACATACTACCAAACTAGGTGGTGCCTGTGTATTACGATGATGATCCAATGCTAATATACAAAGAGTTTGTAAAGTTTTTCCAAGACCCATATCATCGCACAGAACACCATGTAAATGATAACGGTTTAGGAAATTCAACCAATTTAATCCTTGTCGTTGATAACTACGTAATTCTGCTTCTACAGGAATTGGTAACTCTGTATCTGGTATACTGCGAGGATTTAACAGTTGTTCTAAAAATCTTCTTTCTTGAGCTTTCTCTTCTCTGCAAGAATACAAAATATTTGATTTATTTTATAACAAAAGGCGCATAAAAATTTGATACATAGAAATAATAACATCATCGATATCTTACATTAAATCAGGTGGATCCGCAATTACACCAGGATCAAGAGGTAACAATTGTACTAATGTTGCAAATGTTGCACTGCAAACTAATCTAACAGCTTGATTTTGATCACTCATTCTACCAAGCAAAGGTACCATAAAAAGTACCGAATATGGAATGACATTGACGCTTAAGGTTTCGATAATACAGGCCAATGCTTCAGCAGCACCCTGTCTCATCAAATCTATTTCATTTGGAGCTGTAAGAGTTTTAGATTGATTTCTTTCTCTACAGCTAGCTTCTAATAATGGTATTACACTACGTATTACATGTTGCATTGCCTGAAATAAATATGTCTCTAAGTAATATCAATAATTATTAAATATTAAGAACTTATATTATATGTAGAATTTCTACCTTATCTGCATCCACACTAGCTAATACAGCTATACATCGTGCTGCCATATGTCTAACAGCTTTATAAGGGTGTGCTAATAAATCACACAAACGAGGTAAACACTCGAGTGCTGGTGGTAGCAAAGAAGAATGTAAATTTGGTGCCATAATTTCAAGTACTTGTAATCCAGAAATAAGTTGATTAGCTTTCTCTTGGGAATCCTTAGGAAGAGGATCTTTCGATCCTTTTCTTAACATGCTTGGCAAAATTAAATCCCAAAGGTGTGGTAAGCGTGAAGGTAATTCGGCACCAAATAATTTTGCTATATTATTATTAAATCGATTAAATAATATTTAATAAACAATTGATGATTAATGAAGAAAAGAATAAAAATATATATATATATATATATATATATTTATATACCTAATGATGTAAGAGCTAAGGTAGCTCCACGACGTCGTGTTCTAGCAGCTTTTGCTTCAGGTTCTTCGCAAGCAAGTAATTCTTCTAAAGGAATTTCAGTAATTGGTGGCCTACCTGGTCCACGTCCACTACCAGTTCCACTTCCTGTTCCACGATTATAAACTAGTCTTTCTGCGTGCTTATGCCTGTTACTTAAAGTAAGAATACCATCAAAGGTATCATTGTCTTTTATGTTTGCTACTTTTGGTGTGAATTCAGTGTCCGAACACAAAAATGTGCATAAATTAGTTGATATCTTCAAGAAATAAATGACAGATTAATAAAATAAATTGTTGATCAATCAATAACGTTAACTTTAAAAGTAAGAGAAATATATACTTTTGTATTTGGTGAAGGATTCCTATTTACACAAAGATCAACAAGATGAGCTAAATGTTTAGCTGCTAATTTCTGCAATTCTTCGTTCTCCTCACGTTTGATAGCTTCCATTAATGGTTTAACGATTGGATTTAATGGCTGTGGAGTTTCTGGTAAACAATGTAACATAGTAGCAGCTCCTGCCAAAGCAGCCATCGACATAATATTTAATGATTGTTGTTGCGTTGCTGTTGCAGCAGCACCAACCTCTAAAGCTCGTCTTCTTTCTTCTAAACTTTCCACTAATTTAGGTTTCAATTTAATTCCAATACCATTACTACCGGCAACAGTTGGCATTGTGCTAGATGATCCAGTTGCATTACTGATGGCACAAAGTTCTAAAATAGGTTTACCAGCGAGTATTGAGATCTGATCGAAAGTTAGTACACCAGACGTATCTACTTCTACGGGTACATTTAATTTATAATGTTTCAATGTTGCTATGTAATCACGACTTTCGTGTAATAAACGTGTAAACGATGTAGCTATCTCATCGTAAAATATACATTCGGTTAAACATTGAAATAGTCGATCCCTTTAAAAAAGAAAAAGAAAAGAACAATATATAATTATTATCATCAATGATTAAATTTAAATAACAATAAAAATTTATAAATGTATAAAATATTTTCATACTGAAGTATATCAGGTATAACAGGTGGTTTAGTTTTTTCGACGACAGCCCAATGAGACATAGTAAGACCAGCGACAGTCCGTTGTAAAGCTGATCGT